AGGTGTACCTAAGCAGGGCTGAATGTTTGCCAGTGTATCCCTTGCAAATTAATCTGCTTTGCTTATGGTATTACTAAATTGTGTTTTCTTTATACTTAAGCTGTTGTAATGTTTAGCTCTGGTTTTCATTGTAGTGTCATTTAAAAGCTTGCCATGATGCTATAGATACTGAAAATAGAGAGTATTAGATTCATATTTTTAAAAATGTGCTTGTGATTAGCAAAAAAGCAAGTAAGTCTGCTATTTGGAGTGTCAAATGGCAACAGTAATAGCTCCTTAGAATAAAGCAGATGAAGCTACTAGACATGTTGAAAAATAGCCATTAAATGGTTGGCTAACTTTGCTCAGTAGTTCTCTTATTTTTGGTTTATGCTAATGTTTGGTCCCTATATGCTTGTATGTTAATCATTTGGTATGTTTAGCAAGAAAATAACGACAACTTCCTAATTTGATGCCACAATCTTCAGTCAACTAAACCTAATGATTTTATATTACCTCATTTTCCCCCAAATGTTTTTTGTTTTTTTTTTTTTTTACATTATTTGCTCAGTGATCTGCATATTTTGTTTGTAGCCCCTTACACTAATAAACCTGTTACCAGGAGTTAGTTTTCTTCTCCATAGCTTGAATTTTCAGTAAACTTTTGTTTTTAAAATAAATTACTAGGTTTTCTAAGTCTGCATTTGGGAATCCAGATAAGGATGGGAGTTGAAAACGATGGCTACAAAATATTACCTAGAAATGGTGTGACATCTTCAGGCATAAGCAGCAGACTATGTAGGTGAATATTTCACACTACATTCACTTCAGCTTAGTGCCCCTTCCTAGGAAACTATTTAAGTGATACAAGCAATATTTGTCAATACTGCACATTGTGTATAAGCTGCTTTTCTGAAAGTATTCTACATTTCTTCTGCTTGGAAGAGCTTTGAAGGAAGAGTGTTTTGGTGGAATTCATCTGTATAATTTTTTTTTTCCCCTTCAAGCATAGTTTTTCCCTAAAGTCTGCCATATATCAGCATTTGAGACAGAAAATTAGAAATTCAACCTACTTATCTTGTATGCAGGTTTCCATCAGGAAGATATTAAGGAGGACATAAACCATTCATATTTTATTAGCATTAATGTAACCATTGAAGAAAGATCAAAACAATAAATCTGCCAAGACACAGGAAAAGTTTTGTTACAAAAAAAAAAAAAAAAAGAAAAAAAGAAGTTTTTACCTCATGCACTTATCAGCTTGCATGCTGGAGGAGCAGTTCAGATAAAAAATTGTATTATGACATCAAATAGTGAGTTTTTTCTTCCTCCTGTTCGCCAGAATCATCGCTGTGGTAAAAAGTATTTCTGTTCCAAAGTGTGCCCATAGGACAAGGATTATAATGAAAAGAATGACTAAAGCCTTGCAATCATTAGTTTGGATGATGCCTCAAAGGTTTTTGAGAGCCAGCAGTCTGAAGATTTCGTAGGGAAAAAGATGGGCCTGTGTGGCTTGGTGTATAGCTTCTTATGTGTTTTGATCTGTTTCTTAGTGGTTAGGTAATGTTGTGACTGATGGCAGATACTCTGAGGCTTACTCTCATCAGTAGGGTATCCAAATCCCATTTATATGGGGTGCCCATGATGTGAAAGTGCATTACTAAGTGGCATATTACTCTTCTTTTTCTGCTGTACAACTTCCAGATGATTTAATACGCAATTGTAAACAGATTTTAAAACGTTTTCATGCAGCTTAAAGAAACCTGGAAAAAAATCAGTGGAACTGTGTGAGTGCACTCAGTTAATTTTTAATTGTGCGGTAGAAAGGGTAGTAGAAACAGGCAGATGAAATACAGTAATGATACAATAAACTCATAAATTATATCCATAAAGTCAGTGAGTTTTTAAGTACTTTATTTCTCAGCAGCAGTTCATGAGGAACATGCATCTTTAATATTCTGGATAGCTATATGTGCATATAGCTGACATTTTATGAGGGTATCTGTCCTAGATGGGTGTGGTATATTTACATTGTGTGAGATACAGTATCTGTCTCATTGCTCTGTGCTTTTTGTAGTTTAAAATTTGAGTCTAGAAGATGCAAATAATTCTTCCAGTGCTTGGTCCTTTTTGAAGTTTTGGGTTTATTGATTTCTTATACCAAGTTGTATGCTTGATTCTAGCAGTGCCAGATACTTAAAACACTTTTGAGGCTGAACCTATACAATTGAGAGGACAGCCTTTTAGGAGTTATAGAAAGGGCAGACTGTGGAAATAGAAGTACACAAATTTTCAGCCAGAGCCAAAACCAAGAAGCCATTACTTTTGTCTGATAATTTTTAATCAGTCTTTGAGTAGGACAGAAAGACCTGATACATCACTGATTAGTTTTTTGGTTTTTTTAATTGCTCTGAAGTGTTAAGCTCCTGAGCAAACATTATACAAAAGATTATTGAAGGGGGTTTATAACATTAGAACAACTTCAAGGTATGTTTTTCATTGGTGTTCTAAGGGACTTTTAAGGTGTGCTTTAGTGTTTCAGTTCTGGAGGGCACTGTGTTATAGAAATCCAACCTTCTTGGAGCTCTCTCACTGACAGAAAAGTGACGATAGAACAGCCTTCCAGCAGCATAATAAATCACCCAGTGCTGGCAATAATTGTGCCCATTAGGGACGTTCTATTTTTTTTCCCTTCCCCTGCTCAGTTTCCAGCTGTATACTAATAGAACAGCGCATCAAGCAAGGCTGTAAATAAAAGTTATACCTAATAGAGGGGCGCTGAAGTGGAACGGACAGGAGCTGAGGCATGGAGGCCTTATTACTGCTCATCAGCAATTATAAACAGGATAAAGTGTCTGGGACTCGCACTGATGCAGCAAGAGCTAATAGAGCTGGGAGATGACACTGTACCATGATCAGATGATGTATGTTGATGGGTTTTTACTACCCCATCTTATTGCCTATTTCTGTGATGTGTTGTATTATCTGTTCTGTGCTTCCATATCTATCTGGATGGATGGATTGGTTTCTTCTGCTGCTCAAAGGAGCTTGAGCACATATACTTAAGCTTGCTTTTTTGCACATATACTTTGCATTAGTTGCCAGTACTGTTCATCTAAGAGCCTTTGCAAAGTGCTATGATTATTTTAGATTAAAATCCTAATGGTACGGATGATAATAGTCATATCTGTAAACAAATTTAAGGACTTGCTGCAATTGTAGGATTTATTCTCTCTCTCACCTTGTTCAACTTTAGAAAATCACCCTCATTCATTAAAAATTGTGGATGTGGTGACCTGAATTATTTTAGTCTAAAATGCATGGGTTTTTTTCTTTGCCTCTAAAATGCATTTAGTTTTTTCTTTGCCACTAAATGCATTTAGTGTAAACGTGTAATAACCAGTGTGGCTGGAGAATCCCGTGCATTTTGAACTAAATGTGTTGCAACCAGTGTGGTTGGAGAATCCAAAGAGATGGGCTTGGGGTCAATATATCAAAAAGTTTGTTAAAAGTCAGCTATAGATGTGATGATCCTTGCCTCTGAGTTATAAAAACTTAAGCTGTTCTTGGGAAGGTTTTTAAGAGCTTGTTAGCACACAGTAATTGGTAATATTCACAAAAAAAGTCTTTTTTGATCTTTATCACAGAGAGTTTAGCACAAATATGTGCTAGACACCTAAATCATCTCTTTACTAAACCATAGTGAAAAAAATTGCCTTGAAATTTAGCCCGTACTTGCTTTAATCTAAAGAGAAGTTTTGCAAGTATCTTCATAGTTCATACATTAATCGCTCATGCTGATTACTTCTGAAGAGAATTTTCTTCCGAGTAATGGAAAAAATACAACATTCAGAAATTAAAGGTGTGCAACAGCATGACAGCATG